ATGCAGTTATTTTTAATTTGCTAAAAGGACATGAACCATTACAGGTCTAAACCATGCTTTACCAAAATACCCAACAAAATTAAAGCAAGTGTCTGAAATGAGACAATGTAACCTGATAAAGCTTCTGAATTCCTACTAGCACATGAACTTATTCATGAACAACAACAACAAAAAAAGCCACCTGGGGTCAGCTAATCTTTAAAATGGTGTGATAAAAATATATATATTAAATAAAACTATTATGTTTGCTGACGCTTACTGACAAAGGCGATTGTTAACTACCGTAAACTACAAAATGCATTTTACCAATGTTAATCTTTCTCCCAAAATGTTCATAATAAATCCATGTATGGAATTATAGCCTGTTGTCGAATTAAGTTTGAACTCTTTTTGCATGTACACCTATATTAAAAGAATAGTTATATGCTACAGGAAATAGTACAGTTAATTACTTAATAAATGTTAAAATTGCATACAACCTTTATGACCAGCAACCCAGGAACATTTAAAAAGCTTTCACCTTCAATCCATTAGACATTACACTACGCTCCTATTTTTAAATACTGGTTCAATAAACAGTTTATATGCCTATGTCTATATCAATGTTAGGAACTATCAGATTGAAGAATACAAGTACAGCTCGAAACAGGCAGTGCACGTTGTATACAGTTTAATATTTCTAGCAATATTAATGCATACTCCACGTATTGTAAGTATTATTTAGTTTTCCTTGGAATAAGCATGCATTTATGCAAGGAAAAAAAGTTGAATTTACTGTACCATATCTCTTGTGAACAGACGTGTCTATATTAATATACATCATTGATTTAATTTTTAGTTTTCTTGGCTTCCCGCTCACCTATCCAGAAGTGATTTCTCTGGTGATAACTAACACATCATGCTAATGAGAGAATCTAATGTACAATAGAGAAATGTCACTACTAATAATATTTGCATGAAGTTAAATAAAGCAACTGTAAGAGAATGTCAGACAGTTGTTCTTTAATAAGATACAGTTACACAATGAAATTATGTTGTTAATTTTGTTACATCATTGAGTGAATCCTAAATTACTATATAATGATGCACAGATCCATTTATAATTCTGATATACTGCTTTTTTGCTCTCACATTGAAAAAAAGCTTCTGGAAAGGCTATTACCTTTTTATCTGAAACGGATTAAACATTCTTCTTTCTTAACAAAAAGGTACATGGCTCTGGCATTTTGTGTCACTGTGGGTTACAGCCATTTCTCTTACGGTCTCATTTCTGAAATGACTTAAAAGTATTTTAGAACATTACAGCCCTTAAGGTAACTGGATGAAGAAAAATGACATTTCTTATTCTGACAAATGCACAAAACATTTATGAAAGCAGACAATCACAAAAGCCTGCTTTTTTTAATCAATCAAATCCAGACCTTCTTTTCTGTTGTTAACAACTCCTTGCCAGAACTAGAATGGGCAGTGGGTGTCCTGGACTTAACCAGATGAGCATGGAAGAGAAGCCAAGGGTTTCTGCTCATTCTCGACCTGTCACTGATCAAAGTGACCCAAAGAAGCACTCCTTTTTAAAAGTTAAGATTTATGCCCTTTGAGGTTATCAGACATTCTTCTGTATACAGAACGGGATGACCCCTTTCAAGCGAATCACACACTTCTACATGGACAAAAGATGCACAGGCAAAACAATGCAGTCAAGTGGCCATGTCATAAACTTCTCGCAGGTAATTTAGGCGACTATTCCTCTTCTCCTCTCACCCCACCAAAATCTAAATTTGCTCTGGAATGTGGAGATGCCATTTTCTTGTGCTCCCATTCTCTAAGAAAATAATCCAAAAATAAGCACCATCATACTTTGCTATTAATAGCCCAAACCTGTACAATCAATCCTAATTTTTCTGACACATACAGTTCCTTGTCATAATGAAGTAGGTTTTCCTTTTATTCTGAGAAAAGTTATACATTCCTACAGTATGCAAATAGCAGTGCAGTGTGAGTTAAGAGGTAAGAGGAGGGAGGGATCGCAGGGTTTTGTTTTGTTCTAAATCATTCTTCTTGCCATGCTCCAATCTTTGTACTAAAAACCTGCTTGAGATTAAGTTACAACTCCAAGGAAAAGTGATGGGGCTCGGGGTTTCTTTGCTTCTAAAAAACATGTGGAAAGCCAGAATTATACTTAGAAATTTAAAAAAGAAATGTCTCTAGCGTTACTATGTATAGCTGGAAAAGTTTCATTAAACAGTTCTTTCAAACCATGCCAAACTTTGCTTGCAAGTTATGTACATTTCATAACTTCATGTTATTTGTACTCATGAAAACAATTTTTCTTAAAGCATAGGAAAAATTTTAAAAATACTTACATTTCCAGAAGATGGATTGAAAAATATTAACTAACAAATGGATGAAAATAGGTAACAGAATACAATAGTCAAAATTTTAGTGATTTAGAAAGAAACATTGGCACTTAGGCACAAATTTGCAGCTGCACTTGCACATAGTCTGTGCTTATAGTCTGCGTGAGCTAGCAAGTTATAACAGCTTTAACAAATCAGAAATATAAGACAAAATGTTATCCTTAAAGAGGAGAGAAATGCATTTAGCAAAATAACTTACCCTCCTCTTAAAAGCATGATGAAAGCATATTTGGACTGAATACGTTTAGCACATGATAAACAAACAAACAAAATATGACAAGGAGATTAACACAGTACGCGAACGCGTTAAGTACAGACTTTTAAGAAATAAATCTGTTCGACATTACCACCTTTGCAGTGCTACTGTGTGTGTATTCCGGTGGAAGGATACACACTGATGCAGCATCTACCACACGTTTAGTCATTTAATACATTACTTCTGTCCTTCTATACAGAATACAACATGACCATGCATGTTCAATAACGTACAAAATCCAGTTAATACTCAAGAATTAGCACATTTAAAATATTATTAAAAAAGAAAATAGAAACCAAACAGCCTAGCTTATGTGCATAAATGTTTGGCTTGGTCTAATGAGCTAGTTGCCTCAAATTATTTGACCCCCTTACACATTGTGATGCTCTTTTATTTAGTTTTGTTTCCCATCTTTGTCAGTGTTGAACATTTTCTAGTATTCCAGAGACCACAGAGGCTAAATCTGTTGAAAAAGGTCTAATACTAAACAGGCAATCTAATACTATCTATGTGGTTCAATCACCATTTATCAATTGATCGTTATCTGGATCTAATTATGTTAACTCTTTTGTGGCTGAAATGGAAAGAACCTTTTCTCCACCCCAAAAATTTAATCTCACTTCTTACTAAAAGAATACAGCAGGTAATTTGAATAACTGCTTTCCATGCTATTGCTCAGTATCAGTATAACCAAATATGTTATGTATCACAGACATGCATACAGCTGATAAGGCTTGTAAGCAGTGCAGTAGCAGTTCACACTTCCCAATGCCAAGCAGTGTTTTTGAAATGTGCACCTCTACCAGGAAATGAACTTTTTTACTTTTAAGAATGGGAAATTGAACAGAGTTGCTTATTTGCCTTATGTTGATTACGTTCTATACCAGCATACTGTATCAGCAGTAATCAGGGTCCCTCTACAGGATATATCAAAATATTCCTTATTCAAATGCCTTCATCCTGTCCTGAGCTATACTGCTTAAACTGTCGTCCATAGACAACCGCTATTGGTTATTAACTATCTGCTTTGGAGTTTTTCTTGGCTTTAAAGTTTTTTTTTTTAAAATTAAATTACCGTTTTATGGCCAGTATTCAGGCATGCTTTGTTACTGTAAACTATAAAGACCTAATTACTTTCCCTCTCTTTTCTTACAGTACAACGCCTCTCAGGTAAATGAGTTCATTCATCTTATGTCCAACATTAAATAAAAGTCTAATATTAATATACAAATCATTTACTAACTCCTCTTTTGACTAACACAATATTTCAATTATTATCAGTCAGTGTCAGACCATAATTGGAAACTAGTTTTCAGAAAGGCAAAACGTCCCCTGGTAGGGAGTCACCCTGTTAAAAACCTCCAGGTTGAACTTCCCTCCCTTGCTTGAGCCCCGTCCAAGCTGAAAGTTTCTCCCTCTCTTCCCCCCCCCCCTTTTTGTCCCCCCTTTCCCTTCACCCAGAAGAGCCAATCAATTGTGCAAGATTAGCTATAACACACAGGGCGCGTATCACCAAGTGCATGGTACAGAGACACTGGCTCCTGTGATTAATTATCAGTTATTACTGGCCTTGCAGTAACATTTTCGCTTTCCCGTCAGAACCGGCATACCAAGCTGCCTTAAACGCGGCCCCCGGTGAAGGAGCAGCTCTGGGGAGGACGCCAAGGCACAGCTCCGCAGAGAGGGGGGGGGGGGGGGGGGGGGGGGGGGGGGGGGGGGGGCGATGGCTGGTGGCACCGCTGGTGGTGCTCAGCTGGGTTGTGGGGTAGGACTGAAACTGTCTCCTCTAACGACCCTCAGCTCCGTGCTGGCAGCAGCTCCAGCAGGACGGCTCGCCGCTCCTTCCCTCTGAATAAAACTGTGTTCTGCCACATGAAGTCAATTACGCCGTTCTGAGGGGCCCCCTAAATTTAGTATCAGTTCGATTTGGGGGCTTATGTACTCAGGAAGAAAGAAAGGAGTTTTGCTGGGATAGCAGATACTTTTATTTATGGGACGGGGGGAGAGCGAGGGGAAAAAGACTGGAACAAAACAAAAGCAAACAAAGAAAGAAAAACAGCCTTACTACGAGCAAAGCTCTATTTGGAAACTTTAAAACAAATGCTTTGCTTTTACTTAAAGCTTTAATATTTTTTCCTCTTTTAAAAAGGAGCCCTTAGGGAAGCAATGAAGTAACCATGCACATTCCAATGACATAGTTATGACAGTTCAGAGGCTAACTATGTAGTGATGAATGAAGCAAAAATGAAACATGGAAAGAAAGAGAAAAAGGAGGGAAAAAAAGAGCACAAAAATGCCATGTTTTAAAATAAACGAAAGTAACGTAC